TCCACCCGGCTCCCACCACGTAACTCATTCATTCATTTTCAAATGTCATCATATCATACTTTCCTCCGCCCGCATCTGCCCTCAGCGGGCGCCCCACCCTTCTGCTGCTATGGGCCTGATCTTGGCTGAGAGGTGCGGAATGTCAGTCCGTAGGTCATACGCGAGGCTGGACGTCACAATACTGAGGGGAGGGAGTGAAAGCGGAAATCCATTAACCCCCCGCACAGTAGCCAGAGCGGGCCGCCAAGTGCAATCAAACAGCTATCTCCAAACCCACCCCAAGCAGAGACCACTTGTTTGTTATGATAATTTATATAAGGCAAGATCAGGCTGTACCAGGCTACCCACCACAAGGGTACCCCAAGCTACCCAGCTCCACCATGAGGCCTGCCAGTCTCGCACCTGTAGCCCTTACTCATGCACGTCCCCGGCCTCCTCCAAAACGCCACTGGGACGTCCTCTGAAACCTCCAAGGGACTGCCTACAGCACAGGAACCCAACCAGCACGCTGCTGCTCCAGGAACCCGCAGAGGACAAGCCATGGGAGGTGAGGATGGGGTCCAGTGGGCCCTAACTACCAAAGTGACAGGCCATTCTGGGGAGAGGCGGATGAACAAAAAGAAGTCCATGAGGAAGCCAAAGAGCGAAAGCAACACAGCACGTGCTGCTCACTGCTGAGTGCCAGACGACAGGCTACGGTGGAAATTCGGATCCCATTCCTCTCTCCGTACCCAGTTATGTGAGCTTCTTCGAGCAAGATACTGAAGAAGGGAGCCAGGCAGCCATGGCCCGTTATCTTTTTTTTTTTTTTTTTTTTTTTTTGAGACAGAGTCTCGGCTGGAGTGCAGTGGCCGGGATTCTCAGCTCACACCGCAAGCTCCGCTCCGGGTTTGACCCCATTCTCCTGCCTCAAGCTCCCGAGCAGCGACCACAGGCACCCGCCACGAGTCCCGGCTAGGTTTTTTTGTATTTTTTAGTAAAGACGGGGTTCACTGGGTTAGCCAGGATGGTCTCGACTCCTGACCTCGAGGGGGGGGGGGGGGGGGGGGGAGAATCCGCCCGTCGCCTCGGCCTCAAAGTGCTCGGATGTACAGGCTTGAGGCACCGCGCTCGGGCCTCCCGCTCTTATCTGTACATGAATGGCTCACACTGCAGGCGCCCAACACTCAGGGGCTCCTGTCCACAGTCTGTCCTCACAGTGCGCTCTCTCTTCTCTCTCTCTCTCTCTGCTCTCTCTCTCTCTCTCTCTCCTCTCTCTCTCCTCTTCTCTTCCTTCCTCTCTCTCTCTCGTGCTCTCTTCTTCATCTCTTCTCATCTCTCTCTCTCTCACCTCGCCTCCCTGAGGCTAAGCATCCTCACCTCCCAGGGCCGCTGTGAGCACGGAGGAGGAAACAGAGCCGATGGCGGCACAGGGCTTGGCACTCTGGACACACAGGGGTCACTGGCACCTCCACCATCACTTTGCAGCCAGTCAAGGAAGCAGGGTGAGCAGGCCCACAGCATAGGCTCCATTCCCATGGCCCATAAGGGTGACACTCCGGGAGTGGAGGCCAGGCCCTCCCAGCACAGGCTTGCAGCATCGCTGTCATGGTGCGCCCCAGGCCCCCGTGCCCGTGAGGGCCTCCCTGTGCCTCGCATTCTCATGTGCATCATGGGATATGAACACTGACTCTAATGTGGGAATGAAACATGGGGCAGAGCAGCCCAGCAGTTTAGCCTCAAAAAGCTAAACGCAGACCCAGCAATTCTGCCAGGCATATACCTGGAAGAAATGAGAATTCACGTTCACGTAAAAACTTCTATGTGAATGTCCACAGTAGCATTATTTATAATAGCCAAAATGTAGAAATAACCCAAACACCCATCAGTTGACGAATGGATAAACAAATGTGGTCTACCCATACAATGGAACATTATTCATCAATAAAAGATCAAATATTGGCTGGGAACGGTGGCTAACACCTGTAATCCCAGCACTATGGGAGGCCGAGGCAGGCGGATCACGAGGTCAGGAGTTCGAGACCAGGCTGGTCAACATAGTGAAACACCATCTCTACTAAAATTACAAAATTAGCTGGGCTTGTGGCACGTGCCTGTAGTCCCAGTTACTCAGGAGGCTGAGGCAGGAGAATTGCTTGAACCTGGGAGGCAGAGGCTGTGGTGAGCCGCAGTCAAGCCACTGCACTCCAGCCTGGGCAACAGAGCAAGACTCCATCTCAAAAAAAAAAAAGATGAACTATTGATGCAGGCTATAGCTACCATGTGGATGAGCCCTGAAAACATCATGCAAAGTGAGAGCAGTCAATCACAGGAGGCCACATATTGCATGATTCCAGCTATGTGAACAGAACAGGCAAATCCACAGACAGAAAATAAGGGGAATGGATGCCTGGGGTTGGAGGTGGGAATGGGGAGCACATGGGGACTGATTGCTAATAGGTGTGGGGTTCCTTTAAAGGGGTACAAAACTGTGCCAAAATAGACTGTGGCACTGGTTGCACAGCCCCATGAATAGACTAAAATCCATTGCATTACACACTGAAATGGGGAAATTGTATGGTGTGTAAATTCTATCTCAATATATCGGTTATAAAACACAATAATCACCACCATAGGGTTATTGTGGGGTTAAAGAGGTAACTTAGGTAAATTCTTTCAACAGTCTGCATATGGTCAATGCTCAATACATGTTGGCCACTATGACAAGCTGCTGGCCCAGCAGCAAGGGGAGGGGGCAGAGGTAGCAACCCGGGGCCCTCACAGCTGGCAGGACTGAGGGCTCACAGATGCTGCCATGGAGCTGCCCCTTGGAGCCTCCACAACAGCGGCCATCATCACCGGCATTAACTCTCTGCCAGGTGGCATCCTAAACACTTCACTGTGGACTCAGTCCGTCCTCCCGGGGACCCTATGAGACAGGCATTATTACCATCACCACTTTGCAGGTGAGGAAACTGAGGCACAGAAGGATTAAGAAATGTGCCCACGGTCTCGCAGCTACGGTGTGATGGAGTTGGATCTCAATCCGGTCTGACCCCAGAGCCCCAGCTTTAACTGCTGCACCCTTCTGCCTCTCCTGTGTCCCTTCGGTTTTCCCGTCTTTGAAATGAGACCAGTATTAACCCACCCGCGAAAGCAAAGAGACCCCATGACACTCTCCACACCGAGAACCCTAGCTGAGGTTTCCCATTGCTTCCTGCCCATGTTCCTGAGTCCACACCACCCATCCACACCTGCTTTTCCCCTCTTTACCTTCAAGTCCCATAATTACCTGAAATAGATACAGCTTTTCCGCCAGACTCTTGGCCAAGTACACGTCGATCTGGGAAGAAGGGAAGATGACTTAACCGGGAGACTGGACACAGTGCGGACCTCCCGGGGCTGTGCCGGCGCTTCCAGCTTCAGTGAGGGGTAGTGGCTCAGGGAGGCAGTTTGGGGAAGGAGGAAATAGCTCAGCTCATGCTAAAAGCAAGGGGATCCAAGGCTGCACACTGGGTATATTCAGGAATCCCTCCAGAAAGCTCCCAGGGGAACCAGGGCAAGAGTTCACCTGGCACCCCCACCCAAGTTCATAATCCCCCAGTAAGCACACATCTTCCCTGGGGCTGCACTGATTGGGAAACGTCCTGGAGCCTGGGCAAATGCTCTTCTGAGAGGCAGGCAGGCGAGGGCTCACCTATGCCTGTGCCTCCTGGCTGGGCCCTCCACCTGCCCCTCCTGGACAGGCCTATCACCCTGTCTTAGGGGGTCTGCCCTTCATGACTGATGGCTTCGCTTCCTGTCTTCCCAACACTAACCACCCCCACCCCGCCATGCAACAGTTTACCTTCCTGCTTCCTAGCTCCTCCTATGAACCACATTCTCTCCTGCCCCTGGGCCTTTGCACACGCTTTTCCCTGCATCTACAGAGCCCTTCACACATGCCTCCCCTGAGCCTTGATTGCTTGCTCCTCCAAGGAGTTGGGTGAGGCATGACTTGGGCAGGAAGCATTCCAGGGTCCCTGGCTGCAGAGGGCGCTGCCTCTGTCCTCAGAGTCCCTTGGACTCTTTTGTCCCATCACCACCCCCGTATTGTAACTCCTGCTACTGCAGTGTAGATGCAGCTTAAATGCATCTAAATAACCCAAATCTAATAACTTAGCAACATCCCCCAAGCAAGGAAAAACCACCTCTATTCATCTCCGAGGACCTTCTCCTTGCCCCTGCCTTTCCCACTGGAGGTCAGGCTCTGCATATAGGGAGGCTGAAGGCAGATGCAGTTACTTTTTGCCTTTTGCCCTCCAAAGGTCTAAGTCCTGGGTTAAAAGGATTCTGAAATGTGAGTTTGACTATAAACAGCTTTCTTTAAGAAGGGAAACCTGGGCCAGGCATGGTGGCTCATGCCCGTAATGCCTGCACTTTGGGAGGCCAAGGTGGGTGATCACTTGAGGTCAGGAGATCGAGACCAGCCTGGTTATCATGGTGAAATCCTGTCTATACTAAAAGTACAAAAATTAGGTGGGCGTAGTGGCGGGTGCCTGTAATCCCAGCTACTCAGGAGGCTGAGGCACAAGAATCATTTGAACCCGGAGGCAGAGGCTGCGGTGAGCCAAGATCACACTACTGCACTCCAGCCTGGGCAACAGAGTGAGACTCCATCTCAAAAAAAAAAAAATCAGTCGGGTGTGGTGATGGGCGCCTGTAATCCCAGCTACTCAGGAGGCTGAGGCAGGAGAATCGCTTGAACCTGGGAGGCGAAAGTTGCAGTGAGCCGAGATGGCGCCACTGAACTCCAGCCTGGGCAACAGAGCAAGACTCTGTCTCAAAAAAAAAAAAAAGGGGGGGGGGAAGGGAAATCTGCCTCCCACTGCCTGCACCCTACACCCGGAGACTCCTGCCTCATCAGTCCTATCCACAGCCCATTAGCTTCCCAGGGAAGGGGACCCTCCCTGCCCTGCTCACTGATGTGTCACAGCCCCCAGCACACAGTGGTCCAGTGAACAGTTGCTGAATGACTGCATCAATGACTCCACCATAGTTGCCGGGTACCTGGGTGCCAGGCACTGTACTCGGGCTTTGTGGCACAGCAGTGGACAGGAAAGAAAGCAATGAACTGATATCTAGGGGATGACAGGGGCTAGGCCAAGTATGAGTTATCGCCAAGGTAAGGGCAGAGAGAGGCATGGGAGGGTCCAGGAGGGGAGCTGGGTGTGGAAGGGCAGTCAGGGAAGGCCTCTCTAGAATGAGGTGATGCCGGATCAGAGACCTGAAGGAAGGGAGAGGTCAGCCACGCAGGGGTCTGGGGGACAGCAGAGGGGACCAGGCAGAGGAAACAGCAAGGGTTGGGGTCCCAGAACATCAACAGGTCCCAGACTGGCCTGAGGATGCATGGCAAGGACCCAGTTCCACTGCCTGTAGCCCCGGCGGCAGGGGACAGAGAGCAGCAGTTACCTCCTGTACGACTGGGTCATCCTCTTCATTGGCCATACTAGAGGAGAGCCAGCCGCGCGGTCCTTGAGCTCGATCTGCAAAGGAGGGTGAGAGACTGGGACCGTCAGTCAGTGGTTCAACCAACATTTCCCTGTGCCTATTCTGCAACAGGCCCTGAACTGGGAGGCGGAGCCCACAACCAACCAACTGACCTTCTTTCTACATCTACCGTGAAGTCAACAATGGACGACCAACCCTATACCCCATCAGCCAAAAGAAATAAAGAAAAAAAGAAACATTCAGATGCAAGCGGGTAGACCAAGCCAACACGTGTGGGCTGCACCTGTGGGGGAAAAGCAAATGACTGGCTTTAAGGGTTTCTTCTCTGCTCACAGAGAATTCACTGCCAGAGAGGAGGATAGAGGTTAGCTGGTCCCAGCCATGATTAAAACACTGGAGAACTGAGGGCCCTGAGGAGGCTTGAAAGAGCAGCCAGACGTCAAACAGGAAGACAGACAGTCCAAAGCTCTCTCTGATACTTGATTTTCAAGCTGACTTTAACTCGAATCCTGAGTGAGATGACTCTTCTGTGATTTGGTCTAAAAATGACCTCTTCACACACTCTTCTGTCCTGTATTCAACACAATAACCCTGTGAGGTGTGGTGATTGTCACTGTTTTATAATGAACAGACTGGAACTCAGAGATACTGTGTGCGTTTTTACCCAAAGTCACATAGTAAGCAGGATGATGAACTGGACTTCACATCCAGGCTGTCTGACCTCAGGTGCAGGTAACAGGGAGGGGAGGTGAGAGGCAGGCAGGGCCTTTCTGCTGGGGAGGAGGCACGTGGGGTGTGCCTGGAAGGAGAGAGGGCGTTGGGTAAGCCACGACAGCAGAGGGGAAGAGGAATTCCAGGAAGAGGGAAGGCTGCAGGTCTCCACGGGGCAGGTTGAGTATTTCAGCTGGTCTGCCCCTTCACATACCCAAAGAGAAGAGAGGTGGTCATAGGGGGATGGTACTCAGGCACCCCCAGGCCTCAGCAATCCCCAAACCCCTGCTCTTGGGTGAGACCAGCATTTTTTTTTTTTTTCCTTGAGACAGAGTCTTGCTCTGTCGCCCAGGCTGGAGGGCAGTGGTACGATCAGCTCACTGCAACCTCTGCCTCCCGGGTTCAAGTGATTGTCCTGCCTCAGCCTTCCAAGTAGCTGGTATTACAGGTGCCTGCCACAGTACCCGGCTAATTTTTATATTTTAAATAGAGATAGGATTTCACCATGTTGGCCAGGCATGATTTCTGTCTGATCTACTTAATGTTTGAACTATCTAATATTTATTTATTTATTTAAGACATGTCTCGCTCTGTCGCCCAGGCCAAAGTGCACTGGCATGATTTTGACTCACTGCTTCCTAGGTTCAAGTGATTACCGTGCCTCAGCCTCCCAAGTAGCTGGGATTACAGGCATGCACCATCCGCCCAGCTAATTTTTGTATTTTTAGTAGAGACGGGGCTTTGCCACATTGGCCAGGCTGGTCTTGAACTCCTGGCCTCAAGTGATTCGCCTGCCTCGGCCTCTCAAAGTGCTGGGATTGCAGGTGTGAGCCACCGCACCTGGATAAAAGCCAAAGTCTTTATCACCCCATGTAAACCCTAAACAATCTCCTGCCCCTTGACCTGCCAGACCTCATCTCCCACGAGCCTCCTACCCTCCTCTCCTCTCTAAACCCACCTCTGGGGATGTGTAGCTGCTCTACCCGCCTGATAACCTCATGGCCCCCCCTTCACCTCTTTCAGGTTTTTGCTCAAATGTCACCTTATGGCTAAGACCTTCCCTCTCCAAATCAAATGCAAACTGCCTTCCCCACCCCTCAATTCCCTTCTCTGCTCTGGTTTTCTCCATAGCAGGTGTCCATCACCATGTGACAGTTTACAGCTCTGCATCTGTGCCCACCTCTATTGCCACTAAGCTGTAAGCTACGTGAAGGCAGAGATTTTGGTCTATTTTGTCCCTTGTGGTACCCCAAGTGCCTAGTACATAGCAGGCACTCAATACATGTTTGTTGTCTAAATAAATGAACCATGGGAATGCTATTTAATAGGAAGCTACAGAAGGATTTCGGGCAGAGGAAGATATGGAGGGGGTAGAAAGAGAAACTTCAGGGAAACAGGCTATCGTAACAGTCCCAGAGATGGAGGATAGAATGAAAATCAGAAGTCGCATCTCGATAGTTTCAGGTGCATCTCGACTCTCTGCTGTGCAGACAGAGGGCAGCGTGGAGGGGAGAGCCCAAGGCCTGACCCTATCTACACTGGCTGCCAAGCACCACAGACATGTCAAGCTCCTGCCTTCTCTGCAGCTCGGCAGTGGACAACTGAGAGGCTGGAGCCTGCCAGGTGAGCAAGGGGACAGATCATAAGCATTGAGGGTGTGGCCTGGGAGCTTCCAAAGACACAATCATTCTTTCTCTGCTATTGCTATGCCCTGTTGGCCTCTGCGTTGCCAGGGATCAGGGAGGCTAAGGTGCCCTGTCAGCTAGAGAGCTGGAGCTCCTCCCTCTGGATAGTACATCTGGGTTGATACAAAGAGTGTCACCTCCCTTCATCCTCCAGGTTGAGGTGATCCAACTCAGTGGCTTTCAAAGTTTTCAGCCTAAGATCCACCACAGTAAGAAATTCATCTCAGCCAGGCGCAGTGGCTCACACCTGTAATCCCAGCACTTTGGGAGGCCGAGGCGAGCAGATCACAAGGTCAGGAGATCAAGACCATCCTGGCTAACACGGTGAAACCCCATCTCTACTAAAAATACAAAACATTAGCTGGGCGTGGCAGCGGGCACCTGTAGTCCCAGCTACTCGGGAGGCTGAGGCAGGAGAATGGCGTGAACCCAGGAGGCGGAGCTTGCAGTGAGCCGAGATCGGGCCACTGCACTCCAGCCTGGGTGACAGAGCAAGGCTCCGTCTCTGGGGAAAAAAAAAACAACACCAAATTCATCTCATATAAATAACCCAGAACATACATACAGTTGCATAACTGAAACAAGGTTTCACATAACTGTAACTGTCTCTACTATATGTCAGGCAGTGATGTTTTCTACTTCATTCATTCAAAACAAAAAATGCTAGCTTCAATTCCACTAAATCGATTTTACTTCCCACTAATAAATCTCAATCTGCAATGTGAAAAGAACTCATCCATGTCTCCCTATGGCTACCTGCCTCCAAAGTCTCCCAGCAACAGTGAGTCCTTGGAAAGGCTGGCGTGGTGGCTCATGCCAGTAATCCCAACACTTTGGGAGGCTTAGGTGGAAGGACTGCCTGAGACCAGGAGTTCAAGACCAGCCTGAGCAACATAGTGAGACCCCCCCCACCCCCGGTCTCTCTTTAAAAAAAAAAAAAAAAAAAATTAGCCCAGCGTGGCCTGCAGTCCCAATGACTTGGGAAGTTGAGGCAGCAGGACTGGTTGAATCCAGGAGTTTGAGGCTGCAGTGAGCTATGATCACACCACTGTGTTCCATCCTGAGTCACAGGGTGAGACTCTATCTCTATTCGGGGGGGGGGGGGGGGCCAGGCACGCTGGCTCACGCCTGTAATCCCAGCACTTTAGGAAGCTGAGGCAGGCAGATCACCTGAGGTCAGGAGTTCCAGAACCGCCTGGCCAATAAGGTGAAACCCCGTCTCCACTAAAAATACAAAAATCAGCCAGGTGTGGTGATGCACACCTGTAATCCTAGCTACTTGGGAGGCTGAGGCAGAAGAATCGTTTGAACCCAGGAGGCAGAGGTTGCAGTGAGCTGAGATCTTGCCACTGCACTCCAGCCTGGGTAACACAGCAAGACTTCATCTTAAAAAAAAAAAAAATGTGAATCATTATTTCCCTGCCTAAAACCTGTCAACTGTCACTGTCACATAAAACAAAACCCAAACTCCTTTCCATGAGCCGCCTAAGGCCGTACATGATCTTGTCTCTGACTTCCCCTCACCATCCAGGCTGGTAGCCACTTGCTGGGCCTCCACCAAGCCAAGCCCCAGTCCACCCAAGGTCCTTTGCACATCATCTATTCCCCCACAGGGATTTCCAAGGTTGCTCCTTTTTATTAAATATCATCACCGCCTGCAGGAGAGGATAGGTTCCCTGGCCACCCTATTTTAAAAGCCTCCCCCAACTTCCTCCCAGGCACTACCACATCTCTATTTTCTTTCCTTAATGGGTCTCACCTTAATCTGGAACTACCTGGTCTATTTGCTCAGGTGTTGTCTTCTGCAATAGAATGTAAGCTCCATGAAGGCTTCTCAGTGCTTCAGTTTCCTCAACTATGAAATGAAGATTAAAAAAATATATATCCACTGCTAGTTCTCTCAATACCTAGAACAGTGCCTGGCACGAAGTTGACACTCAATATAGTACAAAGAATACTTTATATTTAATCTTCTCATTAGCCCTATTAATAGAGATTTATCATCTTCAATTTGGAAATGAGGAGACTGAGGTTGAGAGAGAAGTAACTCATCCGAGGTGGAATCAGGACAGAAACTAGGGTCTCGTTGATGTCAAAGATCCTTATTCTTATTCTTAACCACTATACTGCACAGATCTTCGATAAAAGGCAGTATGGTTAAGTGGGTAAGAGCCTGAACTCCGGAGCAAAACTACGCGGGTTCAAATCCCACCGCAGCTGCTTCGCATCTGTGACCTACTTGAGTTGTCTACGTCTGGTATTCTTCCCTATTTTCATCCCTAAAGTAGGGAAACTAAGTACCGACCTACAGACAGCTGCGGGGAGGAGTAAAGACGGTAATAAACGTAACCTATGGGAAGGTTCGTTATTACTTGACAACATGTTTTCTGCCAATGTAGGCGGGTAAAAACGCTGCAAGCAGGAGCGTCACCTGGTTTCTAATGAGCCATCACCACAACCCTATGAGGTAGGAATTTCTATTATCCCCATTTCACAGATGAGGAACTGTTGAGATCGCTAAGATCTCTTCTTTCCGCCTCCAAGCCCAAAGAATTCTAAAGCTAACCCAAAGGAACGACCTTGTTTGTTTACTGACACCTCCTCGGACCGAATGGTCAGGGCCGTATCCGGAGCACAGAGTTGGCTCAATAAACACTGAATGGTTGCCTGAATAAATGAATGAGGAATCCCAGGCCTCGCCAGGCAGAAGCTAATCCGGTTCAGCTGCGAAGAGGGGGCTCCGGCAGGCGCAGGTGCCCTCCCTGCCCATCGGGGCGGGCCGCCGACCCCGAGCCTCGCTGTCCAATGGGTTTCTGCTCCCTCGCGGGTGGTCAGGACCCCTTCTCACGCCCACCACGCAGTCCCTGCCGCGAGCCGCCACCACACCCGACGCCGAGGACAGGTGTTCCTTCCGTAGGATGCCCCCCAGGCCCGGGTGGGGCAGGTCGGCAGGACCCTGAGTCACCGCCGGCAGCGTCGGCCGCGGCCTCCCCAACTCCCAGGTGTCGGGTCGGGGAAGTAGGAGTCCGGGGTCGGCCTGGAGCCGGCTGCCCCTCCTCCCGCCCGAGTCCCGAGAGGCCCCCAGCCCCTCAGCACGGCGCGGCGCGGGCCTCCTTGGCCTACTCGGGAATCTAGCCCAGACCCACGTCGTGAGTGCGGTCCGGCTCAAGCCCCAGCTCGGGCGCTGCCAAGATGGGACTCACCTCTCCGCGGGGGCCGAGCGCGGACGGCGGCAACCGCCCAGTTACCCGCGGGCTGCAGAGGCGGCGGCGGCCCGGCTCTCCTCTCAGGCGGCGGCCATGTTGCTGGTGGAGAAACTCCGGCGGACACGTGGGGGGAGCGGGCCGGCCCCAGCGCTTCCTCTTACCCACAATGCCCCGCCCCGGCGCACACGGCTCCGCCCCCTCCGCCGCGCCATTCATGCAGGCCGTGAGCCCCGCCCTGCAGCAGGGGGCGCTGATGGCACGCGCAAAACAGCCGGGCGTGTACGCAGCGGGGAACAAAAAGAAACCAACCCTGGCAGCGGTGGGATTCGAACCCACGCCCCCGAAGAGACTGGAGCCTTAATCCAGCGCCTTAGACCGCTCGGCCACGCTACCCAGCTGGAGAAAGTGTTTGCCAGAACGCTACTTAATGCTTTTGCATTTGCATTTCATCTGGAAATCGCGAGGCGTTTTCGCTGAGGTTTTTTTGTTTAACGTGTGTTCAAGCTGATCCCTATAGAATTATTTTAAAAAGCCGTGTGCTGGGAAAATAAACACTTGCTCCAGTTTTTAGACCCAGGTTTGTTCCGAATAGGTATTAGAGCAAAACTCATTTTTAGAAACTGTACTCTGAGATGGATGGTTACCCTGGAGACCCCTGGTTAACTCACAAGTAATCTATACGACCCGGATTGCGTGTCTCCGGGAGAAGAAATCGATCTGATCAGAAACACGCCCTAGGGGATCTGACGGCCAAACCCGGGGGCTGGTCTGGGCAGTTGTCTCTGAGAAATTATGTGTTTAAATTTTTACTTACACAAATAACACACGAATTATTGTAAAATATTTAAACTTTGCAGATAAGGTACAAATGCTCTTTGACTCTTGACTCACATCCTAGGCCCCTCCGCAGAGGTAAGTAACCATTATTATCAGTTTAATATGTACTATGGTTTGAATGTGTCCCCCAAATTTCATGTGTTGGAAATTTAATCCCCAATGTGGCAGTATTGTGTGGTGGGCCCTTTAAGAGGTGATTAGATCATGAGGGTGGAGCCCTCATGAATGGATTAATCTATTCATGGATTCATGAGTTAATGGATTAATAGGTTATCTTGGGAGGGGGACTGATGGCTTTATAAGTGGGAGCTTTATAAGTGCTAGACCTGAGTCAGCAAGTGAACAGCTCAGCACCCCCTCCATATGATGGCTTGTACTGCCTGAGGACTCTGCAGGGGTACCCCACCAGCAAGAAGGCCCTCGTCAGATGCACACTCTTGCGCTTGGACTTATCAGCCTCCATAACTGTAATAAGTAACTTCCTTTTCTTTACAGATTACCCAGTTTCAGGTATTCTGTTATAAGCAACAGAAAATGGACTAAAACACTATATATCTTTTGTACAAAAATGTACAAAAATTACAAAGAAAAAAAATCATCATCCATAGTGCCACCACCTGGCATTAAATTAATGACTATTATTATTGTGGCTTTTTTTTTCTTTTCTTTTTTCTTTTCTCTCTTTTTTTTTTTTTTTGAGATAGAGTCTCGCTCTTGTCCAGGCTGGGGTGCAGTGCTGTGGTCTCCGCTCACTGCATCCTTCGCCTCCTGGGTTCAAGCGTCTTTACTAAAAATATAAATTTAGCCTGGCGTGGTGGCACGCGCCCGTAATCCCAGCTACTCAGGAGGCTGAGGCAGGAGAATCGCTTGAACCTGGGAAGCGGAGGTTGCAGTGAGCCGAGATTGCGCCACTGCACTCTAGCCTGGGCGACAGTGTGAAACTCCGTCTCAAAAATAAATAAAGAAAAATAGATCACACTATTACAAATAGAAATTATTAGACCGTTACAAATAAAAATAAAGTCCCCTCCCAAACATTCTCCCCTGTCTATAACCGTCATGAATTTGATGTGTATCTTTCCAATAATTTCTTACATTTTTACATATAAAACTTATGAATATCACATAAAATGGTTATCTGTTTGTTTTTCATTTATATAAATGTTAGCACATTGTACTGATATCTAAAACTTGCTTTTCTCATTTCAACGGTATTATTATTATTATTTTAAGAGAGTCTTGCTGTGTCACCCAGGTTAGAGTACAGTGGCACAATAGCAGCCTAGATCTCCTGGGCTCAAGTCATTCTCCTACTTCAGTTTCCCAAGTAGCTGAGATTACAGGCATGAGCCACTGTGCCAGGCCCAACATTGTGTTTTTGAGGTCTGTTACGATGCCTATAGATCTAATTCATTCATTCCATGCCATGAACAACTTTTAAGTTGTTACTAAATTTTTGTCATTACGCACGGTATGGCAGGAAGTACCCTTGCACATGGCTCCTTGTCTTGTGTATGGACATTTCTCTAGGGTATACACTAGAAATGAAATTGCTAGACTATATTTATACTTTACCTAGTATTATATTATAATAATATTAATAATAGGCTGGTCTTGGTGGCTCACTCCTGTAATCCCAGCACTTTGGGAGACTGAGGTGGCAGGATCGCTCGACGCCAGAAGTTCAAGACCAGCCTAAGCAACGTTGAGAAACCTTGTCTCTACCAAAAAGCAAAAGAAAAGAAATTAGCCGGGCACGGTGGCGTATGCCTGTAGTCTCAGCTACTTGGGAGGCCAAGGTCAGAAGATCCCTTGAGCCAGGGAGGTCAAGGCTGCAGTGAGCCGAGATTCAGGCACTGCACTCTAGCCTGGGTGAGAGAGGAGACCCTCTCTATATAGATATAGATATGCATATATTTTTCCATTTTGCCAAAGTATATGATTTTTGATGACTTTTTTTTTTTTTCTATTTCTTCTCATGTTTTCTATTTCTTCCTAAGTCAATTTTGGCAAGTTGTCATTTTCTGGGAAAACAAAGCCCATTACTTGATTTTTCACATTTATTGGTGTAAGAACTCTCAAATCTCCCTCATATCTGAAGTTTTCTCCTCTATCATTCTCTATCGTTTCTCTTTCCCTCTGTCATTTACATGGGTTACTTTCTCCATTATGCTGTTCAAAACAGGGAGTGGAGTCAATGCTTAAGGAGACTGAATGGGGGAATTAGGCAGGAACTCTGCTAATGCTGGTGATGCTTTACACACATCAAAAACTATATAAATCACACTTTTTAAGTAGAATTCTCATTTTGCATTGACTGGTATTAGATTTTTCAGGGCCACGATTCAAGTTTCTGGCTAATATTCAGTTGGTACACACCCCTAACATTTGGACATTTTATATCTTTCCTTTTCAATCCCTCCTTAGCCTGGCTTTTCCCCCTCTCCATCCACCTTTTTTTTTTTTTTTTTTTTTTAGAGAGATGGGGTCTTGCTCTGTTGCCCAGGTTGGAGTGCAGTGGTATGATCACAGCTCACTGCAGCCTTGACATCCTGGGCTCAAGTGATCCTCCCATCTCAGCCTCACAAGTAGCTGGGACTAGAGGCATGCGCCACCACACTGGGCTAACTTTTGTATTTTTTGTAAGGACCAGGTCTTGCTATGCTGCTTAGGCTGGTCTCAAGCTATCCTCCTGCCTCAGCCTCCTGAGTGGCTGGGATTGCAGGTGTGCGCCATCACACTGGGCTAACTTTTGTATTTTTTGTAAGGACCGGGTCTTGCTATGCTGCTTAGGCTGGTCTCAAGCTATCCTCCTGCCTCAGCCTCCCAAAGTGCTAGAATTACAGGAGTGAGCCACCACACCTGGCCATTTGTCTACCTTTAACATATGTAATGATATGCAAAGATTCTCTTGTGCTAGTAGAGTTTGTTGCTCTTCAAGACATTAAAAAAAAAAATACAGAAGCAGCCATGATTGAAGACACAGGCTAGGCATTGTGGGGAGTTCAAAGCTGATTGAGGAATAACCCCTTGAAGTCAATAGAGGAGTGTTTGTCGTGGTATTTTAGTACCAGGAAGGACTTTGTGAGTTGGGTACTGGATTTTCCAAAAGGAAATATCCTCACAGTCAAGGATAATTGCTAGCATCTTTGCCCAGTCTGATTTTTCTAGGAACTGCCTGACCAGTCAGAGAGTGGGTCCCTGGCAGCCACCTTTGTGCTGCACGCCCCACCCCCACAGCCATGGTTAGTGGGTTCTACCTTCTTTGGTGGACGTAGGATTCAGGTTGGACCAATCAAATTCTCTCTTGAAAATGTGAACTGAGACTCAGTGAGTTACTGATTTGTTTTTCTTGTTTGTTTGTTTTTTTGTTTTGTTTTTTGAAACAGAGTCTGGATCCATTGCCTAGGCTGGAGTGCAGTGGCGTGATCTCGGCTCACTGCAACCTCCGCCTCCCAGGTGCAAGCAATTATCCTGCTTCAGCCTCCCAAGTAGTTGGGATTACAGATGCACGCCACCATGCCGGGCTAATTTTTTTGTATTTTTATTAGAGATGGGGCTTCACCATGTTAGGCAGGCTGGTTTTGAACTCCTGACCTCAAGTGATCTGCGAGCCTCGGCTTCCGAAAGTGTTAGGATTACAGGCGTGAGGCCCCTCGCCTGGCCTGATTTGTTAATTTGACCATGTTGCATTGGAATTAGTCTCTGAGGCTGGCTAAAACTAGGAAGAAAGGGGGATTTCGCATGGCTATATTCTGTGAGGTGAGTTGGAGAGGTAGACAAAAGCCAGTGCATAGAAAAAGAGGGAATGAGAGAGTGAGAAGAGCAGAGTCAGGGAAATCCTGATGGTTTTCTGACTTCCAGCTCCAGACCATTTCCAAGGCCCAGTGGGTTGTCCACTCTTGGAGGCATCCCTTTATCATTGTAATAAATTCCCTTTGTCTGCTAAAGCCCAGTGCTACTTGGTAGCTGTCAGTTGTAAACAATAACCCCCTCCCCCTTGCATGGCAAAGGCTCAAATGAAGGGGTGTGTGTGTGTGTGTGTGTGTGTGTGTGTGTGTGTGTCTTTTATTTATTTTATTTTATTTTTATTTTTTTGAGACAGAGTCTCGCTCTGTGGCCCAGTCTGGAGTGCAGTGGCGCGATCTTGGCTCACTGCAAGCTCCGCCTCCTGGGTTCACGCCATTCTTCTGCCTCAGCCTCCCCAGTAGCTGGGACTACAGGTGCCCGCCACCATGCCCGGCTAATTTTTTGTATATTTAGTAGAGACGGGTTTTCACCGTG